AGATTTGGCATCGTAAAGGCTAGATTCGACCTCTGATGACGATAAAGGTTGGAATTGACAATTCAACGGCGATAGAGACCATATCCGATTTCTTGGTAGCCAGTAGAGATTGGATCTAGCCTTGAGGCAGTTAATAGCGTTGAGGAAAGAGGAAGAAGAGAGGGGGAAAGAGAAAAAATCAAAAGGGAGGGGAAAAAGTGGAAGAAAAAAAGTGTAGGTGAAAAAGGAGTAAATTAATCTAGGGTTCAGTTAAATGTCAAAATTACCCTTCTATTAAAATGAAAATATCAACTTTACCTACTCTTCTGTTAACTTTAATGGGCTATATTAACAAAATGGGGGCTAGGGTCGCATTTTTCATATGTACAGTGGCTTACGTCATTAGGCGATCTACACGAGGGTTTTCTATAATTATCCCTTTATAAAACTATGAAAAATATTACAAAATATCTTCAAAATGTTGAAAAAAAAATTTCCTAAGTAATTCTCATAAAAATTCAAATTCAAAAAAATTCACCATATTGAAAAAAAAATTATACATGGATTTTTTTTAATTTACCACTATAGTTAAATTTTATACTCTTTAATACAAATTAAAAGATACTATAAAATTGTAAAAATTAAAATTAATAAACTGATTCATCACTTGGAATGATAACTCCAACACAACTTTACAAACTCATAAGAAATCTAGCTGGAAATATTTTTCTAGTCACTAGTACATAGAGGTGGGCAAGGCTCGGGCCCAGTTAGTCTCGAGTTTGGGCCCACTTTCGCTAGGACCAGTCCTGGGCCCATGAAAACTCTTTGGGACTGATCCTATGGGCTTAGAAAATTTATTTTACCCACTTAATTTTTTTATATTTATGAGTTAAATTGAAATTGTGTAAGGGGATTTATGTAATTTTTTATGGGTGATTTGTAATTTTTTTTATTAAATAGTAAATAAATATAAATGAATGGTTATAATGGTTTTGATTTATAGAGATAATTTAATTTTAGCTTTGAAAATTTAATTTGAACTTCAACAATTAAATAAATATAAATGGATGATTAATTGGTTAGAAATTTATATGGTTTTAATTTAAAGAGATAATTTAATTTTAATATAAATATAATATTCACACTCCACAATGTGCAAATTTAATTTAAACTTAAACAAATAAACAATTAAATAAATTTGTTTTTGTTAAATTATTAATTTACATCGTCCAAATTTGTATTTTTGGTCGAGTAGTTCAGGATTGTAGTCTTCTGTCTGCATGAGTCAAATCCCGTAAATATGTTATGACTTCAACCATCTCATTTGTTAAAGAGCATCTTCTGTCTTTAATAATACGGCCACTAATTGAGAATGTTGACTTGGATGCAATTGTGGAATTGGCACAAATAAAATGTCACGTGTCATTTGGGCTACAATGGGGAATCAACTTGCATTTTGGTTCCACCATCAAAGCATATCTATCTCGCATTTCTCCTTCTTGATCATGTAGGACATGTCCATTTATAGATATCACTGCAGCTCATTTGCTCCGTGTTTGTACGAGTTGGAGCTGCTACTTTCACCACCACCGCCACTAAATTCCATGTACATCCACATGCTCGATCCTTGATAAATGTCTTCATCAGCTTCTTACTGGTCGTCTGTGCCTTGTGTTCCACTGTACCTATTCTAATATAAAGAAAAAAGACTTTCCAATTTTTTGTTAAATTCTATCTAATAAGAACTATAGTCATGTCCTAAATGCTGGCTTATCTCAATAACCATACAATTAAATACGTTTAATTTAAACCTAGGATCTACAATAAGATCTAATCTATATAAGAATGAAATATCTAACCAATATTTACGGTATTTTGCTTCCATGTCTGAAACAATATCCATTAAGTCTGGATTATATCCATGTTTAGCAAAAGTTTTAGAAATTTGAAGTAAAATATCTAACGCTAAATTAGTAGTAGCATAATAAATACCACTTAATGTATTAGTGGAATCATAAAAAAATTTAAAAAATGAATGAAAAAGACTGCAAACCGTCCAATTTGAATCGTTGACGACTTCGTCCGGATAGTTCATCTGGTTGACGAACTATGTAATTTGTGTTGCAGTTGGCATAGCTCTTTGCAACATCAAGTACGTGGAGTTCCAACGGACAGGCATGTCGCAACATGACTTCTTTGGTTGAACCGACGGCTCCTCTTGGCGACAATATTTTACATACTCATTCCATCTTATATTGTTACCGACGATGAATCTGATAGCCATGCTCACCCTTTTAATCCGCGCATGTATTGCTTCTAAACCTACTTTAATTATCAAATTGATGATGTGCTAAGCACATCTCAGGTGAAAAAATTTACCTTCATCAAGCGGATCCATTCTCTTTTCAAATAAAAAAATTGTCATGGTGTTAGCAGCTGCATTATCAAGTGTTAGCGCCATAACTCTCTTAGTTGATAAATAATCTTGTAAAAGTTCAATAATTGGAAAATAAATAGTCTCAACACTATGTTTAGTATATAATGGTTTAAAACCTATCAATTTTTATTGTAAATGCCATCTATGATCTAGGTAATTTATTGTGACACTCAAAAAATATGTTTTTGATTTAGTAGCCCATATGTCTGAAGTAAGTGCAATAGATATATTCTGAAATTTTCAAATTCTTTTTTAAGTTTATCACTTATTTTAGTATAAATTTTTTGTATGTCACTTCTACTTGTACCTCTACTAATAGGGCTATATTGTGGATAAAAAGCAGGTTTAATCATATTAACAAAAAAATGATTTTTAGATAAAGAGAGGTAAAAGTCCATAGCAACTATGTATTTTTCTATTTCCTCTCATGCATGGAGTGCATTGTATTGCCAGTTTGAGAGAGTTGAGGATTGTGGATTAAAATTAAGTTGAGTTTGTATCTGCTTGCCGGGTCCAGTTGAAGTTGAACCAGACTGCATTAATAGGGGGTGCTTCTTCTCTAGGTGCCGCTGCATCGTAAAAGTCTCGTTCTTAGCGCCAATAATGGTTGGACAAAAATTACATACTTTGCACGTCTCTTCCCCCTTCCCACTAGGCTTTGCCTTTTTTGATTTGGTGAAGAATTGTCACACCCCGAACACGACCCTTTTCGACGATCTTGTCGTGGTGCTGCAGCTCGCTTGTGTTTGGTTGGACGCAATCTCGGTTGTTTCTGGTTGTGGAATTGCTACGTTTGGAAAGGGTGAAAATGAATCAAACCCTTCCATTTCTTTGGTGGATGGAGGAACTAGAACATAATACTCATTTGAGGATGATGATCCTCCGAATCCATAATTTGGGGAATCCATAATGAATTTATGATAAAATAATAAATAACTAAAATGGAAGAAATTAAATAATATAAATAATAATATGAGTAATAGATGAATGAATACAAATAAATTGAAGAGAGTTTGAGAATTGGAGTTGAGAGAATGGGAGATTGAGAGTTAAGAGTTATGAGGAAAATAGGTGGAAATAAGGGGTTACTTATTGTTTAGGTTAGGGGGGAAGTGCAAGGGCGGCCGCCCCCTCCCCCCCGGTGACAATTGTTGACGCAATGGTCCAAATTTTTTAATTTTTTTTTGTAAAATTTCATTTTAACTCCTATATTTATTATCAATTTTATATAAAATAGGGGGTTATGGATATTTTTCAGGGGTTTAAATGCAATTGGGGAGGGGGGTTTGGGCCTAGGCTTGAGACTGGTCCCAAGCTCGGCCCCTTGAGGAAGGACCGGCCCTAGGAACGATCCCTCCTCCTTAGGCTTAGTTCGGTTTTAGGCTCAGGCCTTATAGGACCGATCCTGGGTCTATTTTTTTAGGCCGGTTTTTATGCTTGTGCCAAAATTCCCACCTCTACTAGTACAAATGTTAAAACTATCATTAAATCTTTATAAATGATAAATTAAACGAGTACCAAATTCAACCATCACAAAGTTCAAATCTCAAACAACCAAATCTCTAACACAACTTTACAAATGCAAAAGCCAACTCATAAACAGTTGGAAAAGTAATATATAATCCCTGTCAAAAACAAAAATTAGGCCCCTAGATGTTACACTATTTCGAATCATTATTTTGTTATACTATTTGGATTAAAAAATAGAATATGTGTTTGTTTACATATTGGGCCAATTCGTTCAGAAAATTAATCTAACTCAAATAGATTTTTTTGTCTCAAAATGAAAAATGAGTGGGACTTGTTTTCTATTATCATATTTTATTCAACTCAAAACATTTTTCCAACTCTATTCAACTAAAAACAATTACCTTTCACTCATTCCAATCTGAAAACTAATCCACCCAAGACCACCACTGCCAACTAGTAACCACCGTTGGTCGCTGGTCACCGATGCTGCCATCGTTGGACATCATGACTGGAACGACGCACGACCGGCCAGATGTGGTCCATTGTATGCCGATTATACTATTTCTGCCATCCAGCTGGTTGTGCGTAGTTCTAGTGACTGTCGACTGCCGTCTGACGGTGGTGGTCGGCGACCGATTGTCCTCTTGGGTGGTTGAGGTGCTTTCGTTAATTCTTAATCTTTTATTGTGGAGGGTGTTTAGCTAAATTAACAAATATAGGGGGTTAAAAAATAGAATCTAAAATATTTTTCAGAACATGTACCAAACAGCTATTCAATATTTAATCAAACTTTGAATATACTTTTCTGATATTTTAACAAACACATTTTCAGAATATAATCAAATTCAATTTAATCCAATTCAACTCAACTTAAAATAGTTTTTCAGAATAACATTTTTCATATAATCTACCAAACAAGCCCTAGACTTTGGTTAAGGAAAAAGGAAAGTACTAATGAATTATCATGTATATCAAAACTGTCCTCAACGGAAAATTACTGTGCATATATACTCATGAGTATAAATAAACTAAAGTGACTTGTCGGCGGGGTCAATTCTCATGGTTGGTGAACTAAAAGCTAAGAGTAAGCTAACAGAAGAAACCAATTAGAATGGATAGCCAAATCCAAAAGAAGCTTAGAATTATGTATCTCCGTGGATTCAAAACAAGCGAAGAAATCTTGAAGAAACTGATTGGAAGATGGCCTCAAAGTCTACTCCAAAAGTTAGATCTTTATTTCCTTGATGCTCCATTTCCCGCACAGGGGAACTCAGATATTGAAGGTATTTTTGATCCTTCATACTATGAATGGTATCAAAACAATCAAGTTTGACTTCGATCTTTCCAACACAACATGATCGTTATCTTGTTTTTAAATTCTCAATTTGAGATTTTTAAGTAGTAACGATGACTATTAATTTTTTTATTTTAGGATTTTGTAGAGTATAGTAATTTTGAAGTGTGTATTGCATATATAGAAAATTGGGAGAATGACAATTTCCCATCCAAGGTTAGGCATAAGTAAGTTTTCCCACCCGAAAGGTTTTAGAGAAACAATGTCCCACCCATAGTTTAAATTCATTTGTTAACTTCAATTGAAGAAGGATAGAATGGTAAATTTAGTTTTTATCAAAAATCAAAATTAAAAAAAAAATAGACAAAATTCCTTAACCCCATCTTTCTTCCCCTGTCCCACCCCCACAACCCCAAAATCTGCATGTCTTCTGATCTTCTCCATTTAGCTTCCCCACCTCGCCTTACCCGCCCTCCACCATCAGTTCCTAACCTCAGCCAATCTAACCAAATCTCACTCCCCCCGCCTTGACAACCCAATCCCCCACCACACCCCCCAAACCATTGCATCTCTCATCCCCAAGTCCCTCGAGCAAGGCCGCAACAGTGGCTACAAGAGAGGCCATGGTTGTGGCCTAATATACCTAAATCCTTATCTCTTGCCTCTACCTTTCTTGTTTTTCTATTTTCTTTTTACTGTTTGTTGTTTAGAGTGGAATGGATATACTGAGATTGTTAGGATTGTGCAGCGAAATGAAATAGAAATTCCCAATGATTCCCATAAAACCCAAAATCAGGGAGAAGATTATATGTGTTTACACACACACACACAACAACAACAACAACAACAACAAAACATAAACTAAAATATAAGGCTTAGTTTTATACTTTTGTTGGCGGTTCCTTATCTTTGATCTTTGAATGTTTTCGTAAAACCGATTCAAGGATAGAATCGAACTCACAGTATTCACACAAAGGCACCCAAAGAGAGACAAGAAAGATTAACTGCTATATTGATTAAATGCAGTCTAGAAACTTTTGTGAATAGGAGAGGCTATGGGTATTTTCTCACTGTAATAGTGAAGGAATAGGTTTAATAGGTGCTTTTATTTTATTATGTGTAATTTTGTTAATCCAATTCCAAGAAGGAATATACGTAGGCAACAACCTCAGCAAATTATCAAAACACCCTTTATACCCAAAACGACCAAAATGCCCCTTTCACTAAATTTCTCAAACCATCCTTTTGATTTAATTTATTAAAGAGATGTCATCTCCAATTCCTTAAAATTATGCAACAACATTATTCTAGGAACATGACAATCCACTCCATAAATATCAAGCCTTTGGTATTCAACCTCCTTATGTGTGTGACCCGTAGGATCCCTATCATGTTAGTAGTAAATAGAATCGTGATTGACATCAATCAATCATCTCCCTGAACATAGACCAAAATTGACCTCTAGTAATGCATCATGGCCACCTAATAGATAAAGATTCAGCGAAAATTGTAACATGTCAACAGTATGGTTACCGTGCAATCAAATTCTTTTATCACTCATTCTCTATCAAGGTTGAGGCACATAAGTAGTGTCATCCTCAAATTTGTTCCTTGATATATTGGTGTTTGGTTATCGGACCAACGACCAAACTTAAATTGGATTAAGCGACAACTCAATCTCATTGTGGCCACAACTTCCTAGTTGTTGCCATTTAGCCAAACTATATGGTAAGATAACGACTCTCGTAATCAGGAGTGATGAATCATTTGTTGATCGACCACAATCTCAATATACTTCTCGATGCAGCCAATCACTATCGCTCTGATAGCCCTACCAAGGACTGCTTTGGCCTAGTGTCAAACTACACTAATTGGTATACAAGACGCTCCGGTGATCTCAAATCTAAGGATCACATGCACTACTATTTGTTAGAGGATTTGTTCCATAGACACTGGGTATACCATCTGCATGGAGTCCTCTGGTAGGTCATGTCTAGTGAACTTGCTTTTAACAAGCACTCATTTGTCACACCAGGTTGTCACCAAATAACCTTGACATATGAGATTCGCCATTACCTCTTGGTAGGGCTGTTCAACATGATGATAGTCTTACCGTATTATCTGTGCCTTTGGTCAGAATAATATTGGGGCTACGGATGTTTCTAGAATGGCCACCATCTATGCTCATAGGGTCCTCACAATCAAGATTTAAAATACTTGATACCCTCGTCACAATTCTACCATTCTAAGGACAATATCATAACATAAGTAATATACATTACATGATATAGAAAATTTGCCTTTATTAATGTATAAACATGATATACAAAGAGTCAATTGCAAGATTATGATTGGCTCTAGGGCACATACTCTAACATATATAATTTTTTTATTTTATTTTAAGTGTTGAATAAGTTTTTGTTTTTGTTTTTGCGGTTGATTGTGAAAATATTATTGTTGTTGATGGTAAGGATTGGAAGTGTTGAATGTGGATATTTCGACAAAATCGCACCTAGTTGGTGCGATATAACTTGAATCGCACCTACATTGGTGTGATTCCGTCACTGGCGGCAAATGTTGCTACAAAAAATATGGAGGTTGGTGGGGTGGGTCTCTAGGGACTGGTGAAGAACATGGCAGTAGGTAGGGGTGGAGTGCGTGGTGGTCAAACTTTGTCAAACTAAGTCAAATATGTTAGACCAAGAAGAACAATCAACAAAGCTTGATTTTTTTTTTTTTTTAATTGGATTTTAGATTGTTTGATGTTTGATGATCGTTTTTTATTGTTTCTGATTAAATGGGTTGAGAAAAATTGAAGTTTGGCTTGTACGGTGGGGATTTGTAATGGTGGCTCTACTTAGCAACCATGTAGCTGCAACAGTGGCCTCATAAGGTCACCATCGTGGCTGTAACAGTGGCCTTGCAAGGTCACAATCGTAGCCTTGCAAGGTCGTTGATGACTTCGACTAGTGGGAGAGCGAAAGTGGAGGAAGTGGATGTAGGGATGAGGGTGAGGAAATGGATGAAGTGGGTGTGGGATTCGAGGAGAGGAAGTTAGGTTGGAGGTGGAGCCGACGGTGGAAGAGAGAGGACAAAGTGGTAATTTACATTGCATTAATAGTCGAGGGTAGAGGTGGGCAGGGACCGGTCCTAAGCAGGCCTAGGCTTGGGCCTGGGACCCATGAGAAAAATTAGGACCCGGACCAGGCCTTAGGCCTGGTAGGGACTGGTCCTATAGGCCCAGGACCGGTCCTAGGACCAGTCCCATGGGGCTTGGATAATTAATTTTCCCCCCTCAATTTTTTTTTTTTATATTTTGGGGGCAAAATGAAATTTTATGGGGGGTTTTTAGTATTTTTAGGGGTAAAATTTATAAATTTTTTAGACTTGGAAGATTTTTTTTATTATAAATTTTGTAAAATTTCATTTCAGCCCTCTTAATTTATATTTATTTTCAAATTAACAAGGGGTTTTATGTAATTTGGCAAGGGACTGTATTGAAAAAATACAAATTTTTTTGGGCCCGGGCCTGGGACCGGAGGAGGGCCCGGACCCTCCTCCTTAGGCCTGGTCCCGTTTTGGGACCAGGCCTCCTAGGTCCGGTCCTCAAGAGGACCAGTCCTAGGACCGGGTTTTTGAGCTGGGCTTTTGGGCCCGGTCCCAAATACCCAGCTCTAGTCGAGGGCATATCAATAATTTCATATTTAAAAAGTAGGTATATAGGTAATTGACTCTGTTGACATGACATAAATAATAAAAAAAATTATTAAGTCAAATGGTGAAGGGTATTTTTGTCCTTGTAGTGACTGTATCATGTCAGTTAACGGATTTCACTAACGGATCTTAACAGTGGATAGGAAATTGTTTTTTGAAACCTTTTGGGTGGGAAAATTACTTACGCCTAACCTTGGGTGGGAAATTGTTGTTCTCCCATAGGAAATTACATGGTAATGCATGGCCCTTTTGATGGCCTGTTGGGTTTCTCTCAAATGAGTTTCTGGAAAAAAAAAAAAAATATCCTTCCCAATTTCTTGATACTTGAGATTTTAGGGGGCATTTATATTAGTTGCTTTGCCAGGGATGCAAGAAGAGGTAAATATCAACTCTTAGTTTAAAATTGCATTTTGAATATTATTACTATTTTATAGTGAACAGAGTCAGATTTGTGTGGAGGGGAATGAGATTTGATGTACATATATAAATTGTGAAAATGTAGGCGGTGGCTCTTAGCCTCTTACAAAAGTAAAAAGAATAAACTTTGTGATATGGCGGATTCAAGTTTGGAGTCTTTGGACAACCCAAGCTTGCGGCTAACGCATTTTCATCTCCCATCCAGTGCCCATCTCTCCATTTCGTAGGTAACTCCACAAGGTCTACAGTTCTCAGGGCTTTGCGATAGTTTTTTTTTCTGAATATTGCCCCTAAATTTAATTAGAAGAACAAATATATATAAACTGAACAATAATGCTACATATACGAAGTTGAGACCAACTGACAATAATTTAGAGAATGTTCAACAATGTATGGGTAGAGAGTCATAGGAGCGAGGTGAGAGCGAGAGACATGGTTTTCATTTGTGGTGCAGGTGAGTCTGATTTTTTGAAGCAGGGAGGAACTACTCTTCTGGAATCATTTGTGGACCCCAAGGGGCCACTCTGTACCAGGACTTGGTTAGTCTAAAAATCTCCTCGTTTCAATATTTCTACCAATTTAAACAACAATAATGTTCTGAGATTAATGTCACTTCAATGCATAAGAACCTGATGATCTCCATTTTTAATATGTTATGCTTAAAAAGTTAGGTTTGATGTCTTACTCTCATCAGCAAGAGCCAATCAGGGTTTAAGAAGATTTTGTACCGTTCAGACGCTGCCATGTCACGCAGTGATACAAGGGGTATGGTTCTTGTCAGTACAGTAGGTGAGTGTCAAGCTTGCGAGTGGTTAGGGATTGTCCACTTGCCCAAACCCTATACAATTTGAGGATATTTCTCGTACAGATAATCAATGGGATGCAAAGAAAGATTTACACGACACCTACACACTTACAAACTTGTAATCATTACATTGAACTCTCCCACTATAAATAGAGGACACCTCTCCCATTTACGGAATTAACTAATCTTAGTCTAAAATAACTTACACATTTTCTCTCTTGTATTCTCTCTAGATTATAACTCAGCTCGCCGTACGCGACCTAGTTTTACTAATCTATTAATACAATGACAATGAACGTATGACTCGCTTTTGGACATTCGAACCACTTTAAATATCGCTTCTCATTCATTGTTTTATTTTATTTTTTCTTATCACGTGTGATTTCTAAATCCGCTTAGTTTTACACGTATGGATCGTTAGTGTCAAAATCAAGCATCGACACAATATCTCCCTGGCGTATTGTGTACAGATGATAAAGGCTTACAGACAATGCTGAGCTTCAATTAGAAGTTTTGAATGATGCCTTTACATGACAAATACATTTCCTCAGATGTGAAGGGTGCTTTATTGTCCTCCTTTTATCAACATCTCTCATAATATCCTTCCTTTTCACTATTTTAATCAAGGCCTTTCAAATCTTTTTCCAATCATTAATACATATTTATGGACGGCAGTGATGGCGGAGTAATAATTCTTTATCTTTTCATATATATACTATTCGAATGTTACGTTACTTGAATTTTTTGTATCTTTGAATGATCTACAATAATTCTACAATAAAACGACCTTACAATAAATACACAATATTATAATATATNTTGCGAGTGGTTAGGGATTGTCCACTTGCCCAAACCCTATACAATTTGAGGATATTTCTCGTACAGATAATCAATGGGATGCAAAGAAAGATTTACACGACACCTACACACTTACAAACTTGTAATCATTACATTGAACTCTCCCACTATAAATAGAGGACACCTCTCCCATTTACGGAATTAACTAATCTTAGTCTAAAATAACTTACACATTTTCTCTCTTGTATTCTCTCTAGATTATAACTCAGCTCGCCGTACGCGACCTAGTTTTACTAATCTATTAATACAATGACAATGAACGTATGACTCGCTTTTGGACATTCGAACCACTTTAAATATCGCTTCTCATTCATTGTTTTATTTTATTTTTTCTTATCACGTGTGATTTCTAAATCCGCTTAGTTTTACACGTATGGATCGTTAGTGTCAAAATCAAGCATCGACACAATATCTCCCTGGCGTATTGTGTACAGATGATAAAGGCTTACAGACAATGCTGAGCTTCAATTAGAAGTTTTGAATGATGCCTTTACATGACAAATACATTTCCTCAGATGTGAAGGGTGCTTTATTGTCCTCCTTTTATCAACATCTCTCATAATATCCTTCCTTTTCACTATTTTAATCAAGGCCTTTCAAATCTTTTTCCAATCATTAATACATATTTATGGACGGCAGTGATGGCGGAGTAATAATTCTTTATCTTTTCATATATATACTATTCGAATGTTACGTTACTTGAATTTTTTGTATCTTTGAATGATCTACAATAATTCTACAATAAAACGACCTTACAATAAATACACAATATTATAATATATATAACTAAGATCTGATTAAATTTCTTATTCCTTTAAATTATTAACCAATCATGAGCTTCATACGTGACCAAGTAAAACTTAAAATTTAAAAAAAGTAAAAGTAAACCAAATATATGTTAGTATAATTTTAGCTTAGACCTGGTAATGGATTGTGTTGAAATGGTTTCGTATCCGTTTCATTCGTTTTGTGTCAAAAAAATTTTAATCGAACCCAACTTGGTACCTTATTACATCCAAATATTACGACACGAACCCAAACGCTATTTTTAACGTGTTATCCAAATCCAAACCATTGAAACCTTCATTAATTTTTTTTTTTTTTCTAATTGAACATTGAAATATAATATCATCATTAATTCAAGTTGTAACAAGAACAGAGGTGGCTACCAATTATCATACCCAAATATATATAAACCTTCATTAATTTTTTTTCCTTATTAAACATTGAAATATAATATCATCATTAATTCAAGTTAAGTTGTAGCAACGACGAAGGGTGGCTGCCAATTAACATACCCAAATATATATATGCTCTTGAAGATAATTTTATATTTGAACTAAACTATATACATAAACACACATATATTGAAATGCATAAAAAAATCATAATCATATAATCCCAAAATACAAATAAAGCAAATCAAAATTCACCTGTTCTAAATGTGAAGATGACTAAAGAATCTTGGCGATAATGAAACTTTTTTCTTTGTTGTTCAATGATAATAGAAAGTGGCAAGTATTTTAGAGCAATTAGGTTAAAATGTTTAAAACAGGAAATAAATAATCAAAATATGCCATATTATATGTTATGCTTTTTCAAATATTTTGTTACTAAAATTAATAATACATTTAATTAAAAAGTCAAACGAGTCAATCATTTTTTTATGACTAAACCTGAACCCTGTTATGAAACAGGTTACTACCGAGTTAACCTGGTAATGACCTAAACTAATAAAACTAAACCCAAACCCGTTTTTAATGTGTGGGTTCGTATCATGTTATCACATCATGTCCAATTTTGCCCATCCTAATTTTAGGTTTATTTATATTAATAATTTCTTTCTTTTCAATATCAATACAAATAATAAAAAAATGTTTATAACAAAGGCTTCCAATGATTGATTTATAAATCCTTTTAATACTCGAGTTATTGTAAATGATACATATTTAGAATATATTTAGAATTATGATGAAAAAAAAGAAAAAAGAAAATATTTATATTTGTGGTACCAACCAATATTTTTATTGCTTTTTGTATCACAAAATTTGTAATGCTTAGTGACATGTAATGATAAATACTGTCAACAAAGAGATTATAATTTTTTTTTTTTTTTTTCCAATTTTTTCTTCAACTTTTGTGATAGCTATAGACATTTTGTTTATTTTCACTCTAAAAATTTATTTATTTATTTATGTAGCGAAATCAAAAGAGAAATTTTATCAGGAGGATAGAACAATGAATGCATGAAGTATTGGAGTCAAGTCAAAATGGTCCATCCAGATCTTCTTGGCGCTAAAATAAGTCATCTCTTTCTACGGCCCATCACCGTCCTTTACGCTTAACCCTTCTTCGAATCCTTTGATCAAAAATCTTCCCCCACATTTCAAACTCCATTTCCAAACTCACTTTCCAAATCATAACTCGAAACTTCTAGAAACCATGGATCAACAACCTCCCAAGTTGGCGGACACCACCGACCACAAAAGCAAGCCGGAACCTCCGGCCCAGGCCCTCAACCCCAAGCCCGATCCTAGCCCAAAACCTGCGGACACCGCCGAGACAACCAATGGCGAGGACAATAATAACTGGCAAAGTATCGAAATGGGATCCGAGTCTCAGAAAACTGATACTCAAGCTGAAACTCAGAATAAGATCCAATTAGAGAAGTCCACCAATCAGACGGAACCGTCGCCTACGGAATCCATGTCTAGGAAATCGGTCCACTGGAGCCCCGATTTGGTGACCGAATCGCACGCTCAGAATACTCGTAATTTCGATTATAACATGTCTGATCGTGACGGATCCAATCCTTATGTTGCTCACGCTCCGGCCGGGCAGTCCTCTTCATTTTCTTTTAAAGGTATGTACCGTGTGTTGTATATACGATTTTTGTATTTTGTACAATTATAAGTATGTTTAAGGGGATTTTTTTGTATTAGATTCGATGGTGAATGTGAAAGACGTGCTCGGGCGGTGGGGGAAGAGAGTTGGAGAAGCAACGAGAAAAGCTGAGGATCTAGCGGGAAACACGTGGCAGCACTGTGAGTCTTCTTTTTCATTTTATTTCAGTTTTTAGTTATTCAGTTGTTTGTTGTTTTGAAGTGGAATGTGAGAATATAATTTTTTTTATTTTTTATTTTTTCTGAGTATTGGATCTCGGGGATAATATGTAATTGAAAATGTTTTGCAATTGAATTGAACGCGTTGTTGAGCTGAAACCGATCCATTGTTATGGTTTTATACAAATATAGGTAAGTGTGTTATAATTCTTGAATGAAACTAGTTTAACTACTGAAAACTTGGACCAATTGTGAGGATATACTAATAATTAAAATATATAGGAGATAGATTCAAGGGAAAGCCAAGAAAATTTAATTTTGGCATACTGTGGGTTGAATGAATTGTTGAGGGTCTTAATGTTAAATATAGACGATATGAACCTCATCAGAAAGCCGAGGATTTCGGATTAGGAACTTAAAGTGCTTAAGAAAGTACTGAAGGTGGGGAAAAATCAATATGGTGGTGAAGGCGGAATTAGCATAATTTAGGTAATGGTTCCTTATGAGAACCAAGCTTTGGAATTCTGAATAATGGAAAATCATTTGATTATTCACAATAGATTCAATTTCATCTCCCTTACTCCTTAATTTCTACATTCATACGCATCTCACTTCTTTGATTTGTTACTTGTCTAAGACGCCAAAAGAGATATTTTATGTTGGTGAAAATCAGATTGGCATGATATACCATCCTCACTATGATTTTAAATGACACTTCGCTCATGCCAATTTAACCAATTCGTAAGTTCTTCTTACACTGGTTATTATTCTTTTTTTCTTTTAAATATCCTACAAACATAGCATTTTCTATGCAATAGCTAATTATATGTTTTGAGTGGGTTGAATGTCGAAACTAAGATCAATTTCATTAACAGTTGTAATACAGTATGCTGTGCCTTTATCTTCTTGACTCATATTCTTTGCCTCTGCTCCAGCTTCCTAATTTCTCCGATCAAAAGTATTATCTTGACAAGTGTCAATCTTGGTTGCACAACCAAAGTATCTCAACCTGTCTGTTTCCGCTTTCACTCAGTTTCTGTGTCTCATACATAGAAGCAAAATGAAATCTGGATAAATATCTCACATAACTAATTGATTATGCAACTCTAGACTTTTGATTGACTCT